ACACGTTTCGCTGTTATCTATTCTATTTTTATATTATTACGTCATGACATGTTTACTGTTGACACGAATTTTAAATTTGAATATTGCTCATGTAATTAGTATGCTCCTGAGGAAGACCGAGACGGTCGAAACGTCGAGCTAATAAACCAACAAAGCTACATTGGAGTTGGCCTCTTGACCATTACATTTCTGCTCTTATTTACGTTATTTCAAGAGCCCACGATTGCTTCAGTGATCCTCCAGGCAGCGCGTTTAAGACTGATCAGCATTGTTTGTGGGACCCCTTACAAGCTTCTACTTCTTCTATCTATCTATCTATCTATCTATCTATCTATCTATCTATCTATCTATCTATCTATCTATCTATCTGTTTACCTGGGTTTTGATCATCACTGAATGTTTGGATGTCAGTGTAAGAATCTACCAGCGGGTAGGGAACGAACCGACTATACTGGCTACGAATCGACTGAGCACGAAATGTCTAGGAACGGGTGCAAACCAAGCAAACAGTGCTACGCTTCAATTCATAGTTATGGAAACGAATAATGCTTTTAAAGTCGTTACTCAAACGCATTTAATTCTAACCATATGATCGGTTTCTGTGTAGCCAAAATCTTCGTGTTGTAGTCGGAAACCAACATCGCTGACTGATAAAGATTTCTTGAGTTTACGAAATGCCCGTGGGTACCAAACGAGCACATACCAAACGAACAACGCTTTATTTTGCTGTTAGAAACGAACAACGCTTTTAGAGTCGTCACTCGAACGTAGTTCTTTTCCGATCATCATCTGTACGGTGTTGTTGGTAACGAACAGCGCTTAAGTGAAAAATATTTTTAACTTTATTGCCTCCTTAAGTCGAATTTTCAAATTCTTTGCTCTTTCGGACGACACACCTCTAGATTTCGGGCGACATGAGTGAAAGTTTTGAGCGACCTGGCCCCGGGTTTCGAGCGATATGACTTCAACCGAGATGAATTTCGGGCCACTTGACCGATTATCAAAGCACAGCAAATGTAGCTGCAAGCAGACCCTGTAATGATAAAGGATACCCCGAGGCGTTTTGAAGTATTCTTTTAATCAAACTGTACTTAAAAATTGGAAAAAGTTTACGAGTGTGAACTATACACTGTTTCTAAAAATTTGCATACTTTTATTCTAGAAATAGGTTCAATGGAGAAAGAGTAACGCAACAAGAACAGATAATTCACTGTTACGTATATGGCTTGATTGACCATATTTAGATAGCAATGTACTCTTACATGAAGTAGAGATCAGCAATAAAAGTGTGTCTTAGAAAAATGGAAAAGCTTGGAGAGGTTCCTTGTCGAAACATTCACCATTATTGATTGCAAAAAAAAAAAAAAGAAATCAAAGAAACTGTTCATGCTTCTGCAATGGAGGAAGCAAGAAAACTTTGAACGTAAGAGTTTAAATAAACGTTGTAACGTTTTCCTAAACGCTTAGGAGGAACAGTGAACTTTTACTCGAAGTAAATATCACTTCTCGTTCTGTCGACCCTGGCTCCCTCTCCCACCCCTCCCCTACTACTCGTTAAGTGAAGGGCTACGTGACCAAGGAGTGCCAGGCTACTAAGTACAATGATTTTGACGAAGATGGAGGGAGGCAAGGAAATAATTTTGTGCTATTTTCTCTTAATAGTCTTAAGTTTTAACCGAAAATTTTGCTACACATGCCTAAAAACATGCAAGTTGTTTCTTACGAAGCGTTCTCCGCTTTTCGAGGTAGCCGTTCCCTATCATGCAAGGTTTGTTCGATTTCTGGCCTGCTAAGTTTACAAACGTGTACATCAAAAACTCCATATTGTCTCTAAAAAAAAAAGCAGCAACGAATTAAATGTTGAATGGACTGACTGTAGAACGGAGATAATTTTAATGATGTATTAGTTTACTGGTTGTGTAAATGATGTTACCGTGCCTTACAGTGAGTGGCACCTCCATAAAATCTATTTCTCTTAAATTTAATTTATGGTAGTCTTCATCGCCACTTAGTTACAGGTCCACGGTGAATTATCATTTTCATTTACCTTCATCACTGTACTGAAGCTTCACCTATCTACATTCCTACCCTAGCAGTATACGGGAAGTTTGTCGCTATAGACCTAGTTAATCGGCTTAACCTTTATGGTTGCCAATAGTTCAGCGGTAGTGCTTGTGATGTACTAATCAGGTTGCGAGCTTAACTCCAATGGGGAACACGCACAGTTCTTTTTTTTTTTTTAGTATGGTTACATTAAAGTACTCAATGAAGAAGCTCTCCTTTATTCTAAATCTGATCATATAAAAGCAACCATTATCTATCACAGTACACTCCAAACCCCATATTTAGTTGTTGCTGTATTTTAAATAGATGAAAGAATTTAATTTTCCGATTGTTATGTTTTCTTTCTCAGCTCTTTGAGGACTACCACACCTTCAAAAGACCCGATTTAAATCAGAGTGGAGGGAAAGTCCTTGTCACCTAAAAAGATTGAGAAAAAGCTGAACATCCATGTGGACTCCAAGGTGAAAGTTTCTTGTAAAGTTGTGTTCACTAAATAACATGTGTAAGTCTTGCACACAGACTTCTTGTTCCTGACTTTAAGATCTTAACCTAGGTTCCATTAACCTGGAAAATTTTAAAGAAATAGTAATAACAATCAAAATCCTAATTTTAAACTTGTATGTTTTACCTGAAGAAAGCTGAAGGAAGAAGGCCAAATCACTGCAATGGTTTATAATTTATCTTCTTTGTTTCTGATCTACAAAAACTAAATGTTTTGGAGAATATTCTTGCATTCCCTGGACCCTCTCTCTGTGAACTGTTTCTTTCGTAGCAATTTCACACATTTTGTATAATTAGATACTATACATTCATTCTCTCTGACCTTTGAGTTTCATGTTTTTTTTATTTTAGGTTGAGTGGCCTTCGTAGCAAAAAGATAGAAAATTTAAGACTGTCTCAGAAGGCACATTTAGTTATCCCTTAAATGGCTAACAACTGCTCCAGTATACTGTGAGTTGCTCACTTTATAGTTTTGCCATTAATTTACAATATGACTGAATCCTTTCACAAGTAGAATGTCTGATTTTAGATGTTACAATTTTATAGTAATATTTTATTAACCCATATAAAGTTCTTTGGAGTTATTTTGATATGCCTAGAAATATAATTATTTACCAAATACCAGTAAGTATCCAGTCGCATTCGATAGCTGCTTTATTGGGCATCATTATTGTGACTACTATTCATGATGTACTTTTATTGCTTTGTTTTATTAACTATTATTGTTGTGTATTGATTTCTTATCAAGTTGTAAATTGTATATGAAAAGTCTATTTTAGGAGTATGGAAATAAAGTATTGTAATTGTTGTTTTGAGTTAACAATTATAAATTAACTTACCCTCACTCTCCAGTAACAATGAGGAAATTGGTAATCAGCTTGGTTTCCTTGCCATCCTCTTGCTAATTTCTTTAATTCATGTATTCTAAGGATTAAGAAGGACATTTTTAACGTATTTGTTGATTGAAACATACTTACAGTGTAAGACTGACTATTATTTGCAGGAGAGAGCAGATGGTCCAACAAATAACATCACTTCTCTGTGAAAGAAATAGACAGGAAGAGGAATATTGGTAGCTGTGGTCGATGATGTAATTGATGGGAATCATCCTGAACTTTCAGTTAACTATGTCGTAAATTATACAGTCAAGTTACTTTAACATACTTCGGTACCTTTGTGATAACAGTATGATCGACATAAATTTTGAGATTACTTTTTTTGTAAGACTGATTTGGCAGCTAAGTCAAGCCATTACACTTGAACCTCAAACTGTTACATATTTCCTTATAAAAAACGGCAATTAAAAGAATACAGAGTTAGATCAAGAAAAAAATTTGAGTTGTTTACTTAAGTTTGAGTAATATTGTTTCTTGTCACCTGTTTGCTGGAAATGTTTGCTGGAAATGTTTGGATGTTGCAGGGGGAAGTTACAAGTTAATCACTTTTAGGAGTTAAAGGGTTAAAAATCTTTCTGGTGAATTTTAAAATTTATGTATCTTTATTTGTGTTGTTTATAACACTAAAATTGAAAATATCAGGGATTCGTACCATTCTCTACTCCTTATGTAACCATTTTATTAGTAATTTGGTTACTGTTATTATTAATTGACACTGTGGGGGTCTGTAAGGCTCAGTTTTCCCCCTGGACTAGTACCAGTAGATAACTTATTTGTTGTTTTGGTTTGGTTTTGTTCTGGTTTGCTACAAAGGGCAAGGAAAAAAACTCTGGACCATGGCCAGCATATAGTCAAAAGGTGGACCAGTTTAACAAAAGCATACCTATCCAATCAGTGTAATGTATTTAGGAGTCCTACCAAATCAGATTCATGTATTTAAGAGGCCTGCCAGTCAACATGATTCAGAAAAATGAATATGTATATATCTGTAATTGATACATTACAATATGAACTAGCATATGATGAAAGATGATGCAAATTAGAGATAAACCTCTGATGGTTCCAGCTGCTTTCTTAGGTATTTTAGTGTCCAGCCTTTTTTGGTTGGAGCAATGAATTATTTACAGTTTAAAATTTTTGTTCAAAATACAATTCTAAGTTCAAAATCCTAACAAACTTATGGAGTCTTGTAAAATTTGTAAATATCCATTGAGGTAAATACATAATATTTATCAATGTCAGTGTGGTCTTGTTGAGAAGAATATTGACAACATTACCCTTGATTTGTGATGATGTAAAACTACAATTAAAGGCTAGAATATCAGTGAATTTAACTTATCAGTATGCCTTGAACCTTTAATTTTCAAATCTCCCATGGAAAATCATTAATCTGTAAAGTGTGTTATTGGTGAATAGCATGTCAATCTAGTAAATTGTCTTGATAATTGTCTTGAAACCGCCGCCTGATTAGCTCAAGTGGTAGAGCGCCGGACTGCTGAGCGGGAGGTCGAGGGTTCGAGCCCCAGACCGGACCAACACTCAGAGTCTTAAAATAACTGAAGAGAATGTGCTACCTTACTATTATATCGAGAAATGGATAGACATTTAAGTCTTCTCGGAAGAGGATGAAAAACCGTAGGCCCCGTCTCCTGCATCTTCTCTGTACTGGTTAGCAGAGGACCTTAAGAACCCATACACCTATCGCAAAGAGTAGGGTACGTAGCTCCCGGTGTTGTGGTCTGGCCTGTATACTGAAATTGGGGGCATTTGACATTGTAATGCGCATTTGATCATGCCCAAGTTAATTTGCGCAATATAAATATTAAAATATTAGAAATTATTATTATAGCGCTAATGTTTTGACGTAAAAATGGCTCTCAAGGCTAAAAAAGATTCTTTCTTTAACATGAACCGTTTATCTTTTAATTTTTTTCAATCAAGTGATCAACGAAACATTTTTATTTTATTCTACGTGTTGTTTTTGACTCTGACAATCTTAGCCATGGTTGTCTATGCCTCTCTCTTTGTGATCCCCTTTAAAAAGAATTGATAGCCTCTCTAATGATGGCAGTGAAGCAACATCAATTATCAAACACCAACGATAGTATTTGTGGGTAAGGATTTTGATGATAGGATTATTTCGGTTTGTCAGTTTATTTTGGTTAATTCCACAGAGTTTTCTTATAGCTGTAAGAGTGAAGATAATAGCTTTCGCATTTGCAGACGTTCGAGGTGTTGAAATCATCGTTCTATGGAGATCGCCTCGTAATCATTTTCTACCTAAGAGTTAAAGCTTACTGATGTTTCGTCTTTCGTGGAGCTCATAAACCATGTTAGGAGTCTACCTTCCAGCGTCAAATGAACCAAATTTTAAAACATCATCAAAAATGCAAGATTTTACCTTCAACCGTTTAACATAGAGCCATTGAATACATGTACTCATCTTAGTGTATCAAAACTGTGCCATATTTTACGTCGTAAAATTTAGGACTTGATATCTGAAAGAGGAATTTGATCCCCTTGAACGTAAAAAGGTGTCAGAAAGTCAAATATGCGTTCAAAGTGTTTTGAGCAGTAATGAACGCCATAATTAGATGAGTGTGAGTTGCCGAACCCAAACCCGTTGCCGACTTCATCGCAAAAACCTCATCGAAATTTAATCTGATAATATGTGAAGCTCTATCGACATTGCCATACTTTTCCTTTGTATAAATGGTCACGATACAATCTGTGTGGGCCCACTCTAGTGTCACGAGTTTGGGCTGTACCGAAGGCGAGCAGCAGTATCAGCGCTAAGATTTTTATTACATTGGCCACAAATTTATCAAAAAATTGGTTTATTCACAAATTAGAGGTTGTCACGAAAAACTGTCATTCCCAAAAATTAACTTTTTTGGAGCTTTATTGCTCTAAAATGCCATCGTTTTGAAATAAAGATTACCTATAAATCTCTCCCTCGAGGATTAATGAACTACACGAGCGAGACTTGTATTTGACCCCACACGTTTATCATAACGGACTAAACAGTGTCTGTTTCGACTTGTCGCATATTGACAGACTTGGAGTAAATAAAGCTAAAGACCGGCGCGTGATTAATTCCTGTGAGAGCACATCATCACATGGCTGCTTACGATTGGATCTGAAAATTGTAGTATTGATAACATGTTTTGAAAGGCGTACGTGCTGTAGAATTAGGGAAAATGCTAATAGTATATTTTTCCCAACTTCCGCACTTTAGAGACTTCCCCTGGATATAGCACGTTCTAAAGCTAAACGAGGTTCCAGGCAGCCGGAAATAATAAGTTACCTTCCTCATGTAATTACACGTAGAACATGATTATATTCGCTTTCAACTATTTGTAATTTTAACGAAATGGTATTGATTTGTAACATAACAATTTTTAACCCTTTAATTTTTGTGTGCTTAAAGATTCCTTCGCTAATACTATTTACTTTTAATCGGGTTCCTTGAGTTTAGATGTCTCCTCTGCTGAAACATGTTGTCTTGGAACTCAAGTATCACTTCCTTCAGCCTTTCAGCTATTATAGAACTTGAAATTAGCCAATCAGAACAACTTTTATCACCCTCTGGAGATAAGTACTTATTCTAACGAGACCAATTTTCGGAAAGAGAAGGATTTACTTTATCATTGTGTTACTAACAGAGAGAAACTTAAGTGAAATAGTGCTGTAAAGAATTTTATTATCTGAGAAGAGTTCACAGTCGAAGCCTTTTCTTTCTTTCGGGTAAGTCGATAAATTAATCGCTCACAGCTCATAATCTTAAATGTATTCTTAATACAAAGACAAAAGCACGAATTAACCAAAGAAGTATGCTCATAAATTGTTTGAAATCGTTTGTTGAGCTACTTTTTTGTTTTACACGCAATAAGCAACATGCCCCGATTACATCTTGTACCGAAGTGTTTTCAAGACCTCTTATTTAGTTAACCTTCTGAGATTAATCCAGTTCCTGGTAAACCGATTGAGACGATTAAACTGTCAATTCTCTCTATTTGCATAATGATTGATATATTGAAATTGCAGGGAAATGCGGCATACAATGAATATATGAAGTTCATATATTTTGAACTGCGGTATTAAATACGTATGATGCACGATCCTTCGCAGTAGATAGCGCTATTTATGCAATAGCGAAAATCAGACCGGAAAAAAATCAGGCCTGTACTTCATATATTCATTGTATCTGATTTATCATCACGGGTTTATTACGAATCAACTTAACGGCCTGCTCCCAGTTGGCTTGTTAGCTCAATTGGTAGAGCGCTGCACTA